ATACCCGTGTAGTACAGAGAAAATATTGAAGACGAATTCAAACTGAGCTGGTGGAAGCAGATAGAAATGTGCATTCTAAAATTATTTAATACAATAGACAGAATCTTGAAAATTAAAATATATATATCCTAATTATAAAAAAAATATACATATTTTAACGGCGAACTATAGTTTCTGTAGAAGTATGGTAGCATTGAAGACGCTTACTCACAATCAATTCGATTTCCTAACTGTTAAGATACGTCAAATACAGTGCATTATGAAAGAAATAATTTTTGAAATATTCCGAAAAAAGAAAAATTCTTATTGCCATGGTTTTCCTTTCTCGGTTACCGCAGTTTTTTCCAGTATTGTTTTTCACCTTTAACTTATTTTTCATTTTTTTCAGTTGGCAATTTTGTGTCTTCTTTTTAAAATCCATTTTGTTCTCCACATTCACGTTTTGTGAATCTTGAAAGTGGACGCTTATTTCAAACGTTTGAAACATATTTACATTTTCATACTTACTTTTTGAAGCAACTTAAGTTTTTACAATATCAATCATTTCTTATAATTTTTTCATTTCGTGAAAAAATACTATATTTCTGAAGTATTAAAGTTTATTATTTTTGAAGTATACTCTTTGAAGTATCTTTGAAGAATAAATTCTCATCTAAAATATAAATTTTTTTTTTTTATAGATTTTGTTTTATAATACAAATCCTAAAGTTACTGTTATCCTAACTTAAAATGCAATCAGTACACAATTAATAATTATTAAGGCATTAATAAGGTGTAGGGATAATTCTACAGTTCCAATAACGTATTATATGCGAAATATCAATATTATTGTATCGATTATTTTTGCTGAAATCATCGTTTTAAAATCGATAGAATTTATAGGAATCTTTTGATTCAAAATTACTAATCAAAATGAATGTTAAATAATCCCGATTTAAAAACCGAATCCTAAGATCCGCGTAAGACATTGAGTAACTCACATTTCAAGGAAAATTTTTCATATTTCACAACAAATTTCTGCAAAGGCAGATTTTTTTAAGATAATCAGTAAAAAAGAATTTTTTTTTTAATAAACAAAAGGAGTTCTTCAAATGCGTGAAGAGGTAAAAGCAATTTATTTCAAAGCAATCTAACCTCAAGCCACAAGATTTGACCTGGGAAAATGAGATTGAGCGCAAGACAAAATAGTATCATTTTTCAGTTGTTAAATCCAAATGGCAAATAATAATTTTTGCAACAAATAATTTTTGACATATTCTTAAAAATAAAAATTCTGATGGCACTGATTTGCCTCATTTGGGCTATTGTAGTTTTTCTAGTTTTATTTTTCACCTGCAACTTATTTTCCATTTTTTCGTTAAGTGAGTAATTTTAACTTTTTTAGAAAAACTGTTTTCTGCAAGAAAAGACAATTATTGCGTAGCAGTCATCGGGGTTTGTGAGCGGCAGCGAACAGGGGGCTTAGCCCCCTAGTATATAAATAAAAACTTAGTTACGAAGTAATTATTTAGATTTATTTTTGATCATTTCAAAATGGCTGAAGAATTTTAAACAATAAATGGTGCTACAATGTCGCATACTACAATATCAATAATTGGTGATGGAGCTTGCTTTTGACGAGTAATAGAGCCGTGATAACTCAGGGAATAGAGCGTTCGCCTTCCAATGAGGTGAACCGGGTTCGAATCCCAGGGATGGCTGGTCGATACAAATTCCGCTTGCACCGACCACAGGACCGATGTGAAATTTCTTCAGTCATTGATGGATCATGGGTTGGAGTTCCCTTGCCTTAAGCTAACCGTGGGAGGTTTTCCTGGCCACGTAACGCAAATTTGGGTAAGTTCCATTAAAAAAGTCCTCCACGAAGGCAAATTTCTCCCAATACTTGATTCAGGAGTTCCCTTGTCTCTTGGATTAGGTTCAAAATTACAAGACTATATAGTTGAACATTAGTAGTCGGAAACCCAAATAATTGGATCGGCTGTTCAACGACGGCTATAAAATAAAATATAAAATCGGTACCAGCTTGTCTGTGAAGTAAAGGTTTATTCAATTTCAGTATTTTCTATTTAATTAAAATGGTATTAGTTTTCCGTACGAAATCTTAATTTTTATCTTCATATGTAAATGTACATGTAAATGAANGCTAAAATATATATATATATATATATATATTAAATCAACAATAGGAGTTCTTTGAGTGCGTGAAGAGGTGAGAGCAATTTATTTCGATGCGGCCTAACCCCAAGCCACACGATTTGACCTGGGAAAATGAGATTGAGCTCAAGACAAAATGGTATCATATTTCAGTTGTTAAATCCAAATGGGCTTAAAATGGATTGCTCAATCACAAAAAAGAAGAGCAAATGGAGAGAGCGTTATTGCGAAACAGTTTTTATAATGAGAAGATCGTGAGGACGAGGAACAAAGTGGCGGTCGTTTCACGCTTTCCTTTATTATGTGAATCAACTACCAGAGTTTCTAAATATAAAAATATAATTGACTTCTTAAGTGGTTTCGATTATAATTATTCAGATTTTCAAAGATGAGTAACTAAAGTTTTATTACTTTTCTGCATAAAGAGTTGAATCGTTTCAATTGAGAGATACCATTCATAGTTTGGGCGGGCTGTAGCCCACCCAAAGACGGGGAAATAATTTAAGTGGCTAATTAATCTGACGTATTTAATTATGGGTAATTTAAATAAACAAAAAATCAGGAACGAAGAGATTACAGTCTTAATTTTTTTTAACGAATGTAAAGAGACAGCAAGACTGGCTTTGGAAATTTTCCTATTTAAAGACATTTCTTAGTTTTGTTTCCACAGTTGTATTTAGATGATAGACAGAACCAAGCTTTCTCTTTAACCCGTTCTCTTTGGCATGAATAATTTTGCCTGCTTATGATGCTTCAAAACGGTAAATATTATTTCCGATTCTTTCATTCCTTTTGCGAATAAAAAATATGCAATCTTTTAAAAATATGCTATCAAACATTTAAAAATTCTACTTAAAATATTGTTGTAAATAATTGGTATTGATATATTTTCTTAAATATGATGAAAAAATTTATTTTTTCCCTCTTGACAGAAAACTTAATTGACATTAAAAAAGATTCTGAAATTCTAATGGATTCTGAATCTTTTTTGTTTTTCAACTTATACTCTACCACAGAAAAGTTGATCAGACCTATGATTTTCGTTTACAATTTTTTATTCGATTTTTATTAAAATTTATCAAATTGAACTTTCGAATTAAACAATTAACAACAACATCAGTTAAGATTTTTTTTTTTTTTAATTTTTTATGGGAGCCATTTTAAACAGCTATAGCGGTCTATATTATAAATATGCCTGCTCATGTCTGCGTTCAGAAGTCTTACGCAAACAAAGAAGATTAAATCTAATGTGCTTACTCATAGAGCTAGTAAATTTTGTCCGAAACCGATTTTATGAACATTAATTTTCAATTTTAAACTTTTATTGTAGAAAATATCGAAATGACAATCTTAAAAGAAATACATGTTTTTTTTAAATTCTTCGAAATTAAATGGCTAGTTATAACAATTTGGTATTTTATTATATTTATGAAATTCAGATTATTCTAGGAAGCTTTCAAGATCGTTTTTCGGGAGAAAAAAAAACGAAGAAAAATTAACAACGATTTTCATGTAGGCAGTAAGATCTTTCTGTTTAATGATCTGCTATCAAAAGGAAATTCCAGAAGCTTGTACTCATCTATAAACAATGCAAAGGAACAATTCGATGTCACCTTAGAAAAGTGTGTGCTTTATCACTATAGCACCCCAAGTCTTTCATTCATAGAAAATAAGGCAGAATTTTTTTAAAGCTTTATCTTTAGGTTAGTTATGCTATGCATAAAAAATGGTCCTAAAGCTTAAAATAACAGCACGTAAGAAAGTAATAAAGAAATAATTTAAAAGTAAAGACTAAATAAAAGAAGGAAAATATATGCTTCTCTATCAATTTGCGTTTATATACTCGATCGCAACCTGTCCTAAATTAATTCTTTAAAATGCTAGAGTTAAAATTACATGATATTACTGTACAGTAATTAATACGCATGTCAGAATAAATTAAATTAAATTCACGACTGCTCACTTATAAAGAGGACATTCTGTCTGACGCCTTGTCCACCATTTTCCGTGATGTCCTTGCGTGATTTCCTTTTGCAGCAGGTGCAAAAAGAAAAGAAAACTTACTTAAGTGTTAGTGATTTTGACCCATTGCACGCACACACTTATGAGACCACTCGTCTACATCCGAATTATCAATTAGGAATTGGATATGTGTCCTAAAGTGTCACGCAAATATTAGTCTACTTGAACGATCCGCTATATCATTTGACTACACTTTTTATGATTTTCTGCATTATTGGTATTCCTGTGGTGATTTTATAATGCCTGTGAGTCAGCATAAATAATTCTTTATGTTAGTGGTTCATAAAGTTGTTCACACAAACATTAATCAGTCCATTGTGTTAACGGATGAATGAATTACTGCATGATTTGTTTTCGACTTAACTGATTTATTTCATGAGTGTCTTTCTAAGACGAATCTGTTACCAGCTCTCCAATCATTTTAAATTTATTTCATTGTGTTCGATTAATAGATTTTGCAAACGTACAAGTTGCTTAAATTGTTGAGCGCCATATCTAGCATGATTGTTATTTCAATTGAAATCATTGCGAGTGCTGAACAATTCATAATATTCCTCAGCCTTAAATCGTTCATTTTTAATGCAGTAAACATAAGAAAAAACTTAAATTGATTAAGTTTATTATAATTGAATAATCTGAGCTTTTTTTCGTTTCATTAAAAATACAATCAGTTTGTCAATTCATTACAAAGTTGCCTAAAAGCTTTGTTTCTTTTTAATTTTACTCTTAAACTAAAAATAAGAATTATTATTATTATTAGCTTATTATTATAAATATTATTAGTTTATTATTATATGTATTATTACTTTGATTAATTGTTCTATAATTGTATAAATATTGTATAATTAATCAAATTCATATATTTCTTTAATTTATGGTTTGATTTGCATTGTTTTCCAATTCCAACGACGTATTTTTATTTCTAGAACATATACTATTCAAAAAATGATTTGATTTATTTTTTTAAAATTTGATTTATTATTTGAAAATCAGTCTTTCATTTTAAGCCAGAATGTTATTTTAACGCAAGTATCATCATAACCTATTTATCAAGAACTCATCTTCAATATAAAAAGAAAAAGAAAGAAAAACATCAATCCTTCGCTCGCTCTCTACTCGAACAGCTCTAAACATCAGCGCTCTGTTGCCAAAAACTGTTTCTCTTTCCCGCCAAAATTCAAATATCTTCAAGCTTGTTACACGATTCAAGAGAAAAACTATAATAACAACAAATCGTCTGGCATTAATTTAAACGGAAAAAAAATGCTTAGCAAATAAACAAAAACGGAAAAAAAAATGTTGCTTTGATGAAGGTCAGTGATTAATGGTCCAAGAAATTAATCTGAAAAATAAAAAAAATAAATTAAGGCTTATGTCTTCGAAAGAAAAGAAGAAAAAAATAAAAGGAATGGGTTCAACGCACCTGATATCCAGACATTAGAACGTTTGATATGTTATATAATGATGCAGCTCCAGTGTCGAGTGGCTGTCTAGACGAGCACGTGACAGGGTGCGTAGGACGCTTGCACACACTCATGCCACCACACTTCTTTATTTCTTTATTTAATGATTTGTAACGATGAGGAAAAAAGCAAACGATTAATAAGATACAATTTTGGCGGGATTCTGTCAGATCTTTGCATTATCCTTTCTTTAATGAATCGCTTTTAGAACATTGTTTTTGTTGTTATACAGATAATAATTAACGCGATTAAAACACGCTTGTATGTTTGGATAGTCAAAGGATGAATTTATGGTTCAATAAGTATAATTATATGCTCCAATAGATATTTCTTACTTTATTTATTTAAAGTTACAAAATAATTATTTAAGTTATTATTAATAAATAAATATTAAATTACTATTATAAAATTGTTATATGGAAGTTAAAGTTACGAAATTATTACAATAATATGGAATTTATCTTAAGAATATAAGTAAGTATATCGTAAAATGATATATGGTTTCCTTATCTTATATGTTAGTTAGAGTGATTACTATTTTTTAAACAAGTCTCAGAAATACATATTAATAAGTTAAGGAGGAATTTATGACTAAATAAGGTTAATTATGTGTTTCAATAGATCTTCTTACTTATATTTTTTTAAAGTTATGGAATTTGCAAGTGTTATTTATTCTGAGAATCCGATATCTTAAAGCACAAGGCTTTCATTACCTACCTAAATAAATTTGAACTAATAACTAATTCTTCAAGTCAGAATGAACTATGCTTTTTTTTTCTTGCACCAATAAAATTTTGTCGCAAGCTTTTAACTTTTAATTGCAGTAGAACTCTTGATAGTTGATACATACGTGCTTTCCTTAATATATTTAAGAAACTCAGTAATAATTTATTCGGCAGTTTATAATATGATAAATAAATATTGATTGATTTATAGTTGCTATAGCGGCTATATTGCGCCAAGGCCATACTAAACAAGGAAACATTCAGCGATGTTCAATAGAAATTTCGTCGAATAATTCATTGAACAGCAAGGGTTTTATTATAATGTATTCGTTGCTAAGCAACCTTGTTAAAACCCTGTGATTTTTCCCGGCAATACCAGATTTTTCTTCGTAAGGAATTTAACTTAACAAAGTGTTATATCATCGACTTGTGCCTGACTCACATATTGGAAAAATAAAATGTTGATTAAGAAGTTTAAAATTTGGGTTTAAAATGTTTTTATTCGATTGTGCTAAACAATAAGTTAAATTCGGTTTTAGAGTTTTTTTTTCTCTCGTGAATAAAGAGATGTAAAACGGGGCAGGCTCACAGTAATTTTCGATACCTAATTTTCAAGGTTATTTGTTCTCAATAAATTACGTTGCGTTTTCCGGATAAAAAGCAACAACAGAATTGCAAATTATGAGTTGACCTTGTTGAATATTTTCAAAAGCTACATATCGCTTTTTGACATTTTTGCGACAAATCGCTTTTTGAATCGCCTAGTAGAATACTCGAAAAATTCATCTCTTTAACGGTCAGGACACAGTTGATGAATTTTTTAAAAATTTTTATTTCCTTTTTTTTTGTAGAATTGCTGAAAGTTTCATAGCGATATAAGATCTATAAATTATGAATATTTTATAATTTTTGGATCGTTTATTTACGCTTTACTCAATCCTAGTAGCAGAAACACTCCAGCACCGTAGTGGGTTCTGCAAATTATTACAGCTTCAGCAAATTATTATTATTTTTTTTTATCTCATATTTGGGAAGGAAAAGATAAAATTACTGACATTAAGTAAGAACGGCCTAAGTCTTGTGACAGAAACAAAGGGAAATTTAAAGAGCAAAGGAAGAAAAATATTTTTCTATCCTCTTTGATGAAAGATAAAAATGTTATTCTGTTTTGAAATCTGGAACAAAAAAGGAAGGAAAAAAATGAGTCGGCTGTTAGATCTGTAAATTGGGATTTTTAATCTAATATATGCAATAATATTTTTCTGGATTATAAAAAAAAATTATAATTCGAAACTAAAAAAGTAGTCTGTAGATAATAAGCGAAAGAAAATTAATTTTCAAAAATTAAAAAAATAATTTTCATTCTAATAGCTTAAAAAAAATAAAATAATAATAATTAATTTTTTGCCCCTTGGTTTCTGGCTACATCGAAATTTATATCGTCTTTTTCATAGCATTATTGTTTAAAACTCTAAAGTGATTAAAATTTTTAACAGCATGAACTGTTATTTATTAACCTTACATATGCAAGTTTTGCTTTTCAATGCTAGATTAAGACCAATTATTACAATAGGAGTCCTTAATTGCTAAGTGTTCAAATCGGAAGGCATTATGGATAAATCTTCAAAGGAAGGCATTGGCTCAGATTGGGCTGTCTGGCTAATTATCATGATGATGAAGAGCCTTTAATTGACTGCGTTGAGATCGCGAACAAATTTTAGTTTATGAAGTGAGAACGGGAGTTCGAATCAGTGTCGAATTAGTGCAGTAAATGGTGAATGGTGCACGTTAAATCTGTCTGGTCACAAGGTTTTCAACAATCCCATAACAAATTAAACCTCTGGGGGTACTGGATTGAAGATGATCGTTTTCTGTTTCAGGTCCAAATTACTGAAATCGTTATGGGTGTATGAATGGGTCCGTCCTATAAACGGGTGTGGTGAATGGGGAAGGCAGAAGTCTAATTCATGGCCATAGATGCCGCCACTGGAAGAACAAGAACAATATCCCCCCCCCCAGTGCCTTAATGGTCTATGACAACAGCAACAGCTACAAAGGACTTCTTAGCTTCAATATGTAAATGCCTAGCTCAGGGATGGCGAACCTTCATACACCAACGTGCCATTTTTTCTAAAAAATTGTTTAATGAGGTCATAGACGTGCCGTCAAATAATTTTGACTCCGTGATTATTGGGTAAATAATAATACTAAATACTATCAACTCAAAACTCTTTATTTACATTGAAAAAAAAAACATTTTGCCATGTCTTAAAACAACTTAAAGTAACATCAGTGTGACTTCTGTTGCTGAAGATTCGATGACAAATAACTTATATTAGGTTGTAAGATGTTAGTTTAAGCAGGACTGTTAATTTTTTTTACTAGTTATTAGCTTGCTTTTCATGGTTATTAATTATTTTTTTTAGCATTAATTGTTTATTTTTTTATTAATAATTGTTTATTATTTTGTTTTTTGTGAATTTTAATTTAATTGTTACATATGCTTCACAGTGTAATAATATTTGTGTAATAACAATTCATAGTGTAATAACAATTGCGATCGGTGTCGTGCCCAAAATATTGTGTCTCGTGCCATAAATGGCACGCGTGCCATTGGTTCGCCATCCCTGGTCTAGTTGGTGCAATAAAATTCTGGTTGCTTAACAGTATTAGGTGAAAGCAGTTAATTAACACTTTTTCTCACAATTAACAGTTTGTATAATTAATTTATTTATGGTGATTTACTGTTTTGTCTGAATATGGTAAATTAACAAACATATTTTTATCTAGCCATTTTTTCGAGAAATTTCCAACAGTTTAGAAACTTTAAAATTTTCCAGCAATTTTCGCACTCTTCAAGTTGTGCATTGCAGAATGCAAATAATATATATTTGTATAAGAAGTGTCAACTTTTGCTGCTCAAAATGTAACTCTTGTTTGAATCATTAGTTCCGGTCCGCTGTCTATTCACTTTTATTTGATTGATTCTTTAATAAAATTTGTTTTGATTTCCATCTCTTCCTCATCTGATACGCAGGCCACTCAGTGATTATGAATAATTGGAAAAGACTTGGACAGGAATACTTAATGCAGATTTCATTTCTGTCATTGCTCCTTTGGCTTGACTGTTGCGATGTCAATTAATAGATAGAGATCATCACGCAACGACAGTTTGTAAGAATAATAAAAATCCCTGAGGAAAATTAATAGTTTCAGATATAAATGATAGAAATTGATTGGTAAATTATATGATGAAATGTTAAGAAACGAAATGGCGAAATACCAGTTACATTTGCGATAAGAGAGGCAGAAATTATTAATCTTGGCAGCTTTATTTTACTGTTTGTTTAAATCTTAAAATTTTTTTTATTGAATATTGTAATGTATTTATCATTAATAGGATTATATATATACAGTCAAACCCTGCTATAGGGAACCTTCAAGGAACCGAAATTTCAGTTCACTATAACCAGGAGTTTATTTTAACTAATGGTTAAGAATTCCTTTCTTTATTGCACATTATTTAAATAAATGACCATTAAAAGGAAATACAAAACTGACTGAAAAATAATGCGTAGTAACAAAAAATGTGTTAACTTATTTTTATTTTTTATTACTCTTCGTCTTGTGTACGAAAAAAAAATTTATATTCCTTAGCTGATGCGAAGCTGATTCATGAAAAATTTTGTCCATACATCTGCTTTTATTTAAGGATGGGAAAGTGAGATAAAAGTAGCAAAAAAGAAAAGATGCTTATCGCTACTTTCCACTCTATAGATGGTTTTAAAAATCAGTATAAGTATTTATTTTGAAGTAGACATTTCAAAATTATTGCAAAAAAATGAAGATGAAAAATCAGTCGAAAAAATCAGTAGTTAGAAAAAAGTTCATAATATCCAACTTCCTCTCTTTTTTGGTTCACTATATCCACAAAAAATAACATTATACGTGTATAGCTAAGCACGGGACCGAACATTTCGTTGCCTATATCCAGGAGTTCACTATAAACCGTGTTCATTATAACGGGGTTTGACTGTATATAAGTTTTAAGTGATAGCTTATGCTTGTTAACATTCGATTTGGAAATGGTCCAAAAATCACACGATCTGATTTGGGGTTAAAAATCATTGGGAGGAATAAATCTTTAAAATGACCATTTTTATTTCAACAAGTTGTATTCTTCGAATTGCTAAGTAATTTTTATAACTCTTCTAATTTACCTTCCAATTTTTTTTTAACAATAGAGCAATAAATTGCAAGTGCAAGATTAGAACTTTAATGTAATAATTACTGGCAGCTATTTAAGTTTATATGATTGATTAGCAGAGAAATTATTGAGATCTCTAGTGAAATCACATGGGGTACGTTGGTCCTTTAAAAACCGGAGTAAGTTGTACCATCGAAATAATTGAAATAAATTTTATTATAATTATTATTCTAGTTATTTTAGAGTTATGTAATAATCTGTCTCATAGAGATATTCTTAATAATGATTATTTGAATTTGCTAATTTTTGGAAGTATAAAAGACATTAAAAATGTTTTTTGAAACATTCAAGCTACACAAATCTGAAATGAAGAATAACAAATTAAAAGCTAACAAATATTACAAGTATTAAATGCAAATTAACAATATAAATATGCATTTTATTAATCTCATTAATAAGAATTACACTAAACTTGTTTTATTCACATTAAACAATAAAATTAGTTGTTTTTACCTATTGTTAATCTGAAGCAAAATTTAGAA